CAATTGTGCTTCAGCACTAAGCACTGAAGTACAATGATTCAGTGTGTAAAGAGTCTTAAGAGGAAAGTAATCCTATTATGTATTTAAAATATATATAGACACACACCATTCATCAGAATTGTGTCAATGAGAAAGTATTCCTACTCTTGTAGTTAAAGTTACAGTAAGATTGGAAAAGAAAAGGGAAAAAAAAGAGCATCCATTCAACATTAGTCATCTAACTTGGCCAGACTTGTAGTCAGAGAAAGGATGCGGGTTCCTTCACAGATTGATTTGGAGCATCTTGATTGAGTTTCTGTTCTGAACTGCCTGATGAAGTCTCTCCCCAGTTACCAACAGAGAGAGAAGCCTAGGGAAAACAGCTGAGTCTTATCCCTTCAATATGCTAAGTGCTCTTTGAAATCTACGAGTTGACTTTCGCAGAAACAACCCTAGTAGCTAAAGTTCATGCATCAGTAAGTTTTTTCAGGTGAAGTCTGGTCTGCAATTACACTGGAATCAAGTACAAGTTAGTTACTTTTTCTTCCCACCCCCAAGAAACTTCTCATAAAATCAAGTGCGGTCACCATCTTGAAAAGCCTGTTAAGCATCCCAAACTCAAGAAATCTGGGAAAGTCTCAACAAATCTTCCACTTAAAATTCAGCAATCTTAATTCCTTCGAGTTCAGCATTGCACAAATCCTACTACTGAAACTGGAGGCAAAGTTCCTTATTTTATATGCATACACAAATTTCAGTATATAGTCTATGTGTGCTGATTAATGTTTACAAAATTTATATATTCTGCAAAAAAAGGAAATGCTTTTTTACTAGCACTGAGTTAAAGATTTCAATACGTACTTAAAATAAAAGATTAATCCCTTTTGTTACCATGTAATTACTTTAGCCATATTTAGACTAAAAAGACTATAATTTAGAGCAGGAGCTTCATGATTCTACATAGGATATCTCACCTACTACTGATGAAACCAAATTACTTTAAATCTTCATTAGACATGTAGTTAATGGCAAGGAGTGGCCAGCTAAAGTAGAGAAGTAGTACACAAGAATTCCATCCTCCCATCCTGCCAGGATAGGTCTCACAGAGGATGGACTAGTCAACCCTGGGAGAACGGAAGAGATTTTTTCTTTAAGAACGGTAGAAAACATATGGTATCAAAACATTTATAGAAAATGGAAGTAAAAACAGACTACTGAGAAACAGAATTGTATAAACTGTTTTGATTGCAAGCAAATAAAAAAGCACTTCTGACAGCAGAAAGACAAATGATAAAATAACTCTTGCTCTTTTTAATCCAACCAAATAGTTAGGAGTGAAAAGACAGACATTTTTCAGATAATGCTTTTTAAAACTGGAAACTGATGAGAGGAAAAACCAAACACACACAGATGTCAGTTTACATTTTTGAATTGTACTCACCTTTCCCTCTAATTTTAATGCTATTGTCAGTTCCAGCATGACTGAGGAAAGAGAATATTGTTCAAACTGGAACTGAAGCAGAATTTTGAAATACTTATAACATCTTTAAGAAATTTATATTATTAAAATGCTGAGCAGTGTATTAAGGCAGTTCTCATTAGCATGCTTCCCCAGTTTCAATTTTCATGATTTTTAGCTGGTGATGCTTTCTAACCAATAAAGTTAATATTCTTAGTTGTTTGAAAGGTGATTTGCAACATGTCAGATGGTATTATGCATTGTTTTCTGTCTTTTGATATATTAATCACAACTGTAGCCCCTTCTGTTGCAAATGTTTGATTTTAAAATTGTCACTTGTCAGCCAGTCCAATAGGCTATTTCAGAACCAATACAGTTTATGCATGGGAAGTTTGATGTTGAAACAATATTTATTTACATTCCCAGAGTGAGATGGTTTAATATATTCATGCTGCTATAAAAGACATGCTACAAAGCCTAATCGTATTTTGTGTATATACTATGTGTACAGAGAATCTTGCTTGTATTAAAATAAAAGAGAAATGAGGTTCTAAGTATCAATTTATAAAACAGTTCTTTGTAACATGGTACAGTGTTTTGTGAAGCACTATTTCATGAAACTTTAATTATTGGTTAAACCTCCATAGAAACTACCCTTCCCAAAATTCATTATAATAGTTCCCACCTATTTTATTTATGTTTGCATTTCATAAAGTAGCTTACATCCCAATCCCTTGCTTGCTGTACCAGATAAGTGACTTAAATGGGAAAGAGACAACAGTATGAGTGAACTTATTTGTCATTCAGGCACTGTCCTGCTGTAAATACAAAAGCAAAGGAAGACTTAAAAATGATACTCCCCTTCCCCCAGCCATGACTTTCTTGCTGCAACCTGTGGCTCTTTCCCATCAGAACAGCTGGCAGATTTCAGTGCTGCCATAGCAACCCTGCCGTCAGCCCCGTTGGCTTGGCAACATTGCAGCAGGAAGAAACACACTTCAGGTCTCAACTGTTCTCAGGCTCGCTAGGTGTTTTTTCAGGTTGCATTCCTAAATCCTTATTTACTGTTCGATTTAATAAATTTTGCAATGAAAAATCCTATACAGTCCTTGTTTGCCAATGAAATCAGATCATCTTCTCTGGAATCTTGCAAAGAATTAATATCCATTCCTTGCAACGTCACAGCAGATGGATCAAATCTCTGCAACAGCTTCAACTGGTCAAGTGACAGTCCAGCTCCCTTCATGCCTTCTCCTCCAATGTGAGGTTCCTGTTCAAGTAATAAAGAAAAGCAAAGTATCCCATCTGTAAAGTTTTTAAATGCCTTAAATGCATTCTGCTGAATATATGCACAGCTACTTAACAGTTAACATGGACAAGCTAGGTTTGCATCATTCACTCTGGGGGATTCAGAACCTACGTGGCCTTTTCTTGCCTTCATCTGGCCAATATCACACAAACATAATACAAGGTTCCAAGTACCTTGAGGAGGTGGTGATGCCCCTTATCTGCTTTAGCCCAGCAGTTTAGAGCACTTGTTGAGGATGGGTTCAATTCATCACTCAAAGGACTGAAACATCACAAGAAAGCTGTTAGCACCAGCTAATGTGCAGGTCTGAAGGTTGTAGGTTGCCACTTGTAAATGATGCAGCACTTCTGTGTACTGGCTAATAGCTATGAATTAAGTAAAAAAGAGTGATTGTCTGTTACTAATATACTCAGAATTGGTAGTAGAACTACCAGGATTCTTAACACGAAAAATTTCAATTGGAGAGACGGAAGCTCCAGTCTGGAATATTTTACTGCCTGAAGAGGCATCATTTTGGCAGATGATGCAGCAGAAAAATCGGAACTTCAATTTTCTATGTAATGTAATAAGACTAGCTGGTAAATGGGACTACTGTTACGCGTGTATGTCTATGAGGCAGAGAAAGAAAGGAACACTTAGGTATCTGAATTCAGAAGATGACATTTGGCATCAAATTCTTGAAGAGAAGGGCTTAAAATCACAGTCCTTTTCTTAGCATTTCTTGTGGGTAGCCTTGACTGCTTTTTATTTAATACATTGATTCCTGGAAAAAATCTAATTCTTAGCTGGATTGTTCTTTCAATGCATTCAGTAAGGAGACAGAACAAAATGTGCAAAAGTTGGCACTGCAATATCAGAAATAGATCTCCTTTGTCAATCTAGTCTAATGTAGTCTATAATGCAGCCTACAGCAGAGCATTTTTTCAGCCATCACACTTTGCTAACACATGAGCTCACCCAGTCAGCACATGATGAGTGTTACCACGTCCTGTGTGCTGTAAAGCTGGGCAACCAAGAGGTTACAGCCCAATTCTATTCTTCCTTTTGCTCAGCAGGATTTCAGTGCTTTTCAGGTAAAAGACAAAAAGAGGTGTTCATTGCAAATTGAGAGAAAAATAACACACAAAGGGAGAAAAGGGTAGCAGCTTGAAGCAATGTAACAGAAGGATGGAAAGGTAGAAGTCTAAGGGAAAACAGTATTACACAGGTTCAAGCAACCTGCTCAAAGATAGACCAGTGTTTTCCTCTACCTTTTCATTTTTCCTTCCAGTTAAGTTACTGCATTTAAGCTGATCTACAGTATCTCTTGTATAAAGCCCTAAGAGGAAATAAGTCTGCACACAGGATCAGCTGCCATGCAACAACCTCCACCTATCAGAACAATCACCTGTTTTTTCCTTACCCAGCTAAACAAACATCATTCCAGGAACTGTTGCCAAACTGAGAAGTGGAAAACAGTGGACTGGGTATGTAAAGAGGTGTCCACTGAGATACTAAAGAAGATGGGATATAAACACATACAGGAACATGAGATAAGTCAACCCTAGACTCCGTTATTAGGTACTACAAACCATCTGTAAGCAATTAAGTGTCATCTCATTTAAAATATACTATACAGAAAATATCAATTTTTACAGACATGGCATTTCTGTGTGAAAAATAGTGCTTTATTTAAGAGTGATATTACTGGTGAGTGAAAGTCTATTAAACCAGAATTCTTCTTGAATTTGAGTTAATAGGACTTGTGTTTTGCTTTGTCATTCTATCAAGGACAATATTTAAGCTGTTAGGTAAAATGTATAATCTGTTGAAACAGTTGGAACTGAAAAATTCCTCGTAAATGGATGGTGAAAAAGCAGATAGAAGAACAGAACATACAAATCTCTGAAGAAAAGCTTCAGTTCTGTTAAATCTTTACCAGTCTTCATATAATTCCTCATTATACACAATTTTTTAATTTCAGTTAAAAGATTCATACAAGCCATCACAGAATGTATAAGTAAGCTAAACAGGTATCAGTTAGACTTTTCCTCAAAGCCATGATGATAAACAACTAACTCACCCAGCTCATCACATCACCAAAGAGGAAGAGGGATGTATACAGTCTGATGATAAACGCCCTTGAGGCACTAATAATGGTAACATATTTTTGAACTGTATGCAGTATAGATATAAAATTCTAGTATCTCCCTATATATTACCTCCTCCCAGACATCTTAATGGTAGACACTGACTCCAAAAAAGACAAGGTACATTCTTGGGACACTGAGCCTGAAATAAGTTTGTTCCCTCATTCCTTCAAGTAAGGCAAAAATAGTTCCCGTACATATAAAATCCTCTTTCCTCAAAACACAAGGTTATTTTCATTTATGTCCCATCTTTTATGCAAGTCTTCACTACTTCATTGTCATTAATAAAAGCATTTTGACCTCTCCTGTGAATGTGCAAAAGAAGAGAATAAAACACATGTATTAAAGAACAATTGCAAGAGAAATTTCAACCTGTTTGAACTCTCTTTTGTGTTTTAAGTGGTTGTTGTGCAAATCAAAATAGCCACAATACACAGTGGCAAATTACTTGAAGATCCCTAAATGAAGCTCGATTAAACACAAAAACAGATTTTATAAAAGCCTCAGAAATCCTTGTGTTGTTTTTATCCACAGCAGTTAAAACTATCCACAGTGAAAGATTTATTGGTAGTAAATGCAGTGTGGGACTTAACAGTTCCAAAACAAGCTCACTAGATCATGTGAAGTACCCTAAAAATACTATTACCTGTGGATGAAGCTGGAGGCATGGAAAAGTTTCCAGGGCCCAGGCAACTTGCTCCTCGTTTTCAGAAAGTGTAATTGTACATGTACTATATACTAAAACACCTCCTGGCTTCAGCAATTTCACTGCCTGCAGGGAGAAATAAACAATAGTTCAGCTTATTTTTAAATAAGCACTTAAACTCAAATCTAAGTTAGGCATTAGGATGCTAATTCTTCTCAGGGAATACAGTAAAGGATCCCCTGGATTAGAAATATTCTTCTTTCCAAACAGGCATTATGGCTTATGCAGTTTATTAATGCCATTGAGATGATTCACCTGGTAAGATTTGTTATTTGTACAGCTCTGTGTATCTGAGACAGATTAGGTCTGTTTTCTCCACCTGCTGCCAACCACAGATAGACAACACTTTTATCAGTGATATCAGATGTCAACTGTTTCCACATATTTGGCACGGACGTTGTACCTATGCTGCTTTTTAATCTGTCATTCATTCTGAATGTGTTTCATTCAGATTTAGAGAAATCTCATGAAATCTTATCTTTCAGCATCAGCCCATGCACAGTTCTCAGCATGCTCCTAAGTCACCTGCTCTGTGACTTAGACCCTTGCCAATATCATAAACTAAAACCGATGAAACTGAGGGAATAAAAAAACCATATCAAAGGTTTTTATTTACACATACCTTTTCCATGTTCCAGTGAACTGACTTCACCTAGCAACAGATATGGTGGAGCTGAGAGGTTAACTGATCCTAACACTTCCTAAATGCAAAAGCATTCGTGTTCAATTTAATTTATTTACTTGATCTTTAACACATACCACAGTGAAAAGCTTGCGCTGCAGTGGCTGGTAAGAGGTCACTTCCTTTAAAGTTGAAGAATAAGCCATGTTTGGTCTCTGTCCCATCCCACTACATGGAGCATCAAGAAGAATTCGATCAAATGACTCTGGTAAGAATGGAGGCCCTTCTGTAAAAAGCAGTTAGTAATATAAAATGTGGCTGTTTCTTTCCTTGAGACTTCACCATAGGTAAGGACAAGCTGTAACTGCATCTTTGGCATAAAACATCTGTGTGCAGTCGACAGTGTCTGCAAAAGCAGACTCAGCTAGAGGCAAGTCTCAGCACTGCTGGTAGTGTTTTTCATATCCCAGAAAACCAAACAGTTTTAGTTCTGTAAGCTCAAAAATGATCCCTTTAAGCAATAATATATTTAAACTTAATTTAATGATTTGAAAGTAAAATGTAAAAGCAATCCAACAAAAATGCTGAAGTATGATTGGTCAGAGGTGCTGGGCACAGAGTTGTATATACAGGCTGTAATGAACCACACTCAGGTCATAACTGAAACTGAAATGTGCAAACCTTTACTGAGAGAAACGTGTAGTTAATTGTTAAGACTGCCTTAAATAATAACTGGATTGTCTGTAAAATAACTGCTTCCTGTGATGGATATCTGTAGAAACTAAAACACTTCATAACAGCATGAACTATTACAAGTTCTAATGTGTGACACATGATGCCTCCACAGCAGAACAATTCAGTAAACAATTAACAACTTCCTACAATTACCTGGATGATAAGGGAATATGGATGAACAAATCCTTTAACCTGAGCCCCACTGGCACAACAGCCCAAAAGTTTCTATCTCCTCAGTGCTAGAGACTGTCCATCTCAGCATCACCAGGTACTACTGCTACCATCCTTGTACTATCATACTACTGCTGCCTAGCTTGTTCCAGCACTATGAAATGAGTCAATCTGATTTATCTACCTCTGATCCATTAATAAAATGTTCAAAATATGTCATGTCTTACTTGAAGGGATGTACAGAAAAGCCTTCATGATTTCAGTATTACAGCTAGCTCTTGTTCACCTGTGTAATTAATTGCTCTATACCACCTACAGTATTTAATGTTCATAAAAATACTACTAAAAAAGTACTTTTGTTCCTCCAAAGCAGGAATAACTGCAAGGCATAGGGACAAAGAAGGTGAATTATGCAACCTGATTCCTACTTAGTCTAACCAGTGACTGAGATAAAATAGAGTGAGAAAGAACAGCATACTTTGCACAACAAACTAAAAATAATCAGGACAGCAGATACCATTTAAATCATCCCAGCATGGAACAGAACCAATATCATAACTGCAGCACTTCAGAAAAGCAAATGAAATGAACTTAAAATAATACACTGTGCTTGTATGTAACTTTCCCCTGAACAGCTGAACAAACATCACTGAACTAAACTTTGCAGCACTCCTGGGAGTTACGTATTAATAACCCCATTTTACTGATGAGGATTATGAGACAGAAAAGCCAAGCAAATCTGCAAAAATGAGTTTTTTCTCAGACTAGGTCAGACAATTCAGAGTATGGGGTTAAATGTGATCATGAAATAAGCTTTAAGGCTTCTTCAGTCTTTGATATTATCTGGGAAAGGAATGCATTTCCTCTGAGCACATTAGGTTGTGATAAGGACAGATAATTTGACTTTTGTATTTGCTTCATAGAGAAGATGATAATCACAAAAGAGTTGAAAATAAAAGGGCTGCTGAAGTAACTTAGGTATCTGCCAAGATTTTAAGAGCTTGTAGACCTGTGGCAGGTTTAATATTATTAGTGCAAAACATTACTGTTTTCTTCTAAAAGCTAGTACTGACCAAATTGTGTATTTTACCTTGTTCACCCTCGCTCTTCTCAACTGAAAGGGCCTTTGTTCCATCATAGCAAAAGGCCTTAATGCAATTCAACTGCAGCAATTCAGCATTCTGCTGGATTTTTTTGACCTTGTTAGCTATCTTGTCCATGGCTATTACTTCACCCTGAAAGAAAAACCCCAAAGTCTTCATCAAAAGCATAGGGATTAAATGGATGTGCATTTTCTGATTTCCTTTCCCCACCCATAAGCAGTG